TATATATATATATATATATATATGTATGTATATGTATAGTTTATTACTATTGGGTATCTATATCGATTTTTTTGCATACGAAACCGAAAGCTATTGCAAATCTGATTGTGCCAGAGGATTTCTGAATTGCCTTATTGCTGTACTTCGGTTGTTGATCCCTGGCCAGTCACATTGCTAGGTTTGCGTCCCTGATTTATACTATCAAGCATATTAAGAATCTTGTAATTAGTAAACATACAAACGGCACATAGAAGAACAACAAACTTTTACTACAAATAGCGTAGTTTGCTGGCACTCTTCTACCACAACACACTTTACCTCCGTGTATGCTACTATGGGATACAGGCTGAGGGTGCGGAAGCTGAAGGAGAGCCAGTTGACTCTCAGGCCGAACAGACGTGTAAAGTTTCCTACAGCGCACAACATAAGGTGTGATCTCAAGATACTGACGGCATGCGTGAAAGCTTTGATATTTGTATTGGGGGTAAACCCAGAAACTGTGTCAACTCAGCCATCATATTTTAACTTTTTCCTCTTTGTATTAGATGATCTTTATTGAAAGAAATTTTACGTGAATGTATATAAGTAATAGAGGCTTTAGTGTGTAATGATTAGTATCAGGTAGGCAGAAGATGGTTGAGAGATAGGAGTTTCTAGATCAGGATGAGCTTGTATATGGGTATGATACTTTTGACTTGAATTTTAGTCTCCTAGAATAATCGTTTAGTCAACTATTATTATAAAATAAATTCCTGAGTTTTGTCAGACTTTGATATGACAACTAAACGTTAGTGGAAACTGTCGTATGTGTAGCGGAGAAATCGTTTGGACTATTGTGGAGACATGTAGGGGGGACGCCTATGACTGTTTTAATAGAGCATTGAGTGTTAGTGCAGAGGACTAAGACGTATGAGACTGTACTCCAACAGGGAGGGTTGTGACCAGCAGTGTTGCTTTTGTGTGAGGTAACCACGCCTGAGACTAGATCCGAATTAGAGGCCTTTATGCAATTTTTTGGGATCAAGCCTAAGGACATTATTTCAAATGGCATCAGCAGCTTTGTACTCGATGTTCAAGGACTTTTTTGAAGTTGGGGAGTCGCAAGCTGTTTTTCTTTTTCAGTCAATTGGTTGTAGCTCGCGGGAAAAAAAACAAGACAAAATTATCTCGCTTTTAGAGAATTGAAGTAGAATGGTGCACGAAATATTATAGCAGTGAATGAAGCTAAGAATGCGATTGAGGAGAGAGATACGTTTGAAGAAATAGAGTCTAACGACAAAAGTGTGCAAGAGGCACATAGTTGCGAGTTAAAGACGGAGAGCAATAAAAAGCACAAAAAGCAGCTAAAGAGGCTTTAAAAGTGTCGAAGTAGCGGTATAAAGCGTTGGTGAAACAGATTGAACAAAATTTATTTTAAAAAGGCGTGTCAGTATGAAGCTAGATGGCTCGTGCCGCTTATAAGAGATGATGATTAGTTTTATTCAATATTGGCTTTGGTTGGTGATGCAGAGGCTAGAGAGAGGGTGTGGTGTTAGATAATTTGACAGGTCTGTCTGCGCGTACGTTGAGTTTTCTGAAGGCATTGTTTGATGGAAGTAAAGCAGTCGAAAATATGGTCTTGAACTTGCTTGAGACAAGTGGAGGTTTAGTTGATGCATTGGAGCAGTTGTTAATATGCATGAGAGAAGATACATGAGTGTTACAGCTTGAGAGGGAGCAGGCTAACAAGAGGCATCAGGTGCGTATGGAGACAAAGCATAACTATTTTCAGGCTGACGCTGTAAAGAAAATAGCGACTGCAGCATTTGGTGGTACTAGCGGTCTGCAAGGTGCATGTAACTTTTGTAAAGAACCAGGACGTTTTGTGCGTGTGTAGTGTCCTGTGTTGCAGGAGATGGTATGTCATGCGTGTAGCACGATAAAGCATTCTGCTAAGCATTGTCCTATGAAGCAAGCTACGCATGCAGCGGCGGCGGCAGTGTCAGCTGGGACCACAGCTGTATTGCCAGTTACAACGTGTCAGTATGTTACCAAATTGTATGGTACGGTAGGCTTGCTCATGCAACCTGATTGTGATCATTTATCCCTGCCTAAGGCAGTTCATGGTTTCGAAGATGTTGTTGTGGCTAGAGACAATTTTTCGCGTATGGTATGGTGCCGCCCCTATATGTCGAATGAGGAGAATAGTAAGTCTGTTTTGCAATTTGTGCTGCAGCAGGTGTTACCTTGGGGTACGCCGCAGAGTGTAGTAATGGCTCAAGGATGTCCTTTTGCGTCGGATGAGATGCCGAGTTTTTGGACAAGTATGGGTGCAGAGTGTCACTATGTATTGGTTAATCACATAGGCATCACGGAAATGGCAGAGCGGAACAGGTAATTTGCACTATCGTAAATTAGCTAACGGAGAGTCTACCTGTGGGATACGAA